GTGGAGACGGAGGCTTCCAGCCTGGCAGTGTGTCGGAATCACCCGGGGGACTGAAACACTGATGCCTGCCCGGTTTAATTGGGCTCTGGAGTGTGGTCTGAGCATTAGGAGTTTGAGTCGCTCCCCAGGTGATTCAAAGGTTCCTGGGCTCTTGTCTCCCCCAACCCATGCCCTGCAGAGGACTGCCCAAGATTTCCAGGTCCCCCCAAAAGAGACTTTAGCCCGTGGCACTGCTTCTAAATCTACATATGCATCTTGAGAAAATTCCCTTCTTGACTTCTGAATGTCGATTCAAAGCGATGAGTCTCTGGACCTTCTTGACTAGGAAACAAAAGTCAGTGTGAATGGCCTGAAGGCTCTCCCCCTTCCTCTGAGCCTTGAGGACAGGACAGGGCTGTGCTGTCATCCAGCCCCCAGGCCTTGTCACTCATCTTTGGAGGGCCCTGGCCAATCAGTCCCACCGCACGTTACAGGATCTGAGCCCACAAAGTCCCCCTAGGCACTTCAGGGCAGTGCCAGGGCTGTCTCGCTGGTGTCCTTATATTCTGCCCTGACCAGTTTGGTAGCTGAAGTCCCCTGTGAAGAATGCCTCCTTTGGGACACCCTGCTCCTGGGGCACTCATGTTCCCGCTGACCGGAAAGCCCACAGGAGTTCCACTGGGGTGCTGAGTTCACCCCAGTCTGTACCCGCCTCCCTCTCCCCAGAAACTGACAGGCCTTCTCTTCACCCTGTGACATCGGTGGCCGGGCTGGAGGCACAGCTTCTTTGGGTCTCTCTATGCTCTGCCTTAGAGGGGCAGGCACCAGATTGTCCCCATTACAAGCTGAGCACAGCGTCCCTCTGCAGACTCTCCCCGAGGCATGTCAGCTGGTGCAGGGAGACCGCCCTCCACCCAGTCCCCACCGACACATGACCAGGACCAGCAACTGTCCCTGAACTAACCAGGTGACCAGAGTCTTTCCTGCCGGAGACAAAGCATCCTCCGTGTGCCAGCACCATGCAAGCACTTCACGTGACGTTTCATGTACCCATTGTACAGATGAAGACCGAGGATCTGAGGGGTCAAGTTTCTGCTTAAGGCCAAAGAGAGGACCTGAACCCAGATCTCCAACTTCCCCCCTAATCTCTACAGCAGAGGCTCTCAAATTAGAGAGGGCATAAGCACCCCAGTGATTCTAACTCCGTGGGCCCCAGGAACCTGCATTTTAATCCCAGAACGCAGGATGGCCGGGGACCAGCCTTGGAGAACTTGTGCCCGCATCGCATACTCCAAGTCCCAGGACCTGTCCCAGGCCCAGCCAGGCTCATTCTCGCTGCACGCCCTTGACCCCTCTGACCTTTCTCCCCTGTGAGAATGAGAAGATCAAACTAGCCAATTCCAAGGGGCTCTTCCCTGTGCCTTGAGCCCCCCAACTTGGCTTCTACTCGGTTCGCTGGAGGGAGGGAAGGGGGAAGGGAAGGGGGGAGGGAAGGGAGGAGGGAAGGGGGGAGGGAAGGAGTACGGGTGGGCGCCCCTTCTCCACGTTTCTCCCCGCAGCAGGCCCCTCCGCCAGGTCAAACAGTGATCCCTGCCCGGGTTTTCACCTGCTTCTTCATACAGTCAGGGACCCAGAAGACCCCCAACCCCCCACTCCCCAACCACCGTCCTGGAGTCTCTGGCAGAGGGGACAGTTCCTCTGCTTAAGGGCCTGAAAGAGCAGCTGGGGAGCCCCGCGTCTTGCCTTCGCTCCCCCTCCTTCCTTTCTTCATGAAGGGCCGAGCCAGGTCCGGTTCCCGTCCCTGCTCTCCACAGACAGCCGGCCCCCAGGAGAGCTGTAAGAGACAGCGAAGAGTGGACATCTGGGCAGAGCGCGTCCGCAGGAGCTGTCCCTGAGCTCCGCTGAGTCAGCTCGGCCTAGGGGGTGGTGGGGCTCGCCGCCTCTCCCCCCCACTGCCCCAAGGTCTGCCCGAGCTGGCCCAAATGCCAGACGCCAGCTACCTCCTCTCCCAGGTAAGCCCCAAATTATTGACTGCAGCAGCTCCGAACCCCAACATATATTTATCCTGCCTCCCAGACGCCCAGCCTGGGTCTTACTTGGACTTGCAGCCATCTCAGGAGTGAAGGGAGGAGGGGAAAATGGAAAGTGGCTGTGCCTGCCTCCAACCCCACCCTCTGGCTGAGAAGGTGCTGAGCTGAATCAGGCCAGGACACTGCCCCACCGTCCGCTCATCAACCCTGAGGGCTTAATCCTAGCCCTGTCACCTGCTGCACACTGGAGGTGGTGGCCTGCCTGAAGGCCAGGCAGCCAAGAGGACAGTCAGTAATAGCAGAGAATGTGCCAGAACCTAGTTTCCTCACGGTCTATGCCTGTTTGTGGCCACAGAGGTAGCTGTTTAGGAAAGGGTTGCGCTCCCTCCACCCAAGTGTGGAGTCCCACAGGTGCGTGGGGACAGAGAAGTTGTGAGAAGCCAGCCTTTCAGTCCAAAGAGCCTCTACCTGCCCCCGCACAGCCGGGACACCAGCCTGCAGCAGCTTTCATCAAAGGATTTTGGGGAGTTGCTGAAGGGGAATCACGTGAGCATACCCAGCCCACTGCCTTCTGCCCCAGCTCTTTGGAGCGATGCCTGTTTCTTCCTGTGTGGCCCCCAGATGACCTGCATCAGAAACAAGTAGGATTCTTGTCGTAAATGCATATTCCCGGGCCTCCCCTTGTACACAAGGAATCCTGAGGCACAAAACCATTTGAGAATTATCCGTGTGGCAGCCAGGAGCCAGGAATTTGGTGTCGCTTCCCTGAGCCCTCAGTTCCTCGTGCTTACGATGGGGGCGTGAAGAATGCACATCCCACAGGGTGGTCTTAGGACTCAGTAAGGCGACCTAATTCTCCAATAGCAGAGCAAAATTGTGGCAAACTGATTCTGCAGATGGAAGCAGCAGATTTTCCATTTCTTTTTCTTTCTTTTCTTTTTTTTTTCTTTTTTCTTTTTTGCCTGCCGTGTAACCTTCGGTGGAGATAGGCTCCTGTGAGAGGCGACCCTGGTTCATGGGTCAAGGCTCTCTCGCTTACCAACCATCTAAACTCAAGCATGTGATATGTGTCCCTATGGGCCTCAGTTTCCACATCTACCAAATGGGAATGCTAAATTGCCCAGTCACCCATCCTGCGGCTGCGATGACTCAGTGCTATACGTTGAGGAAAGCCACGTGATTACGCAGACACGACGCCCCCTCTGGGACTTCCCTGTGCTCCCTGCCCCAACTCCTGCTTTGGAAGCAAAATGAGTAGAGGGAAAAATGGCACCCCAGCCACCCTGTCTCCCTGTCTCAAAATGTGGCCTGCGGAGGGACTCCAGCAGATCCTTGCACACTAGCGATGTAGCAGCACTAGAGCCAAAAGGTGGAAACAACCCAAGCGTCCGTAGACAGACGAACGGATTCACAGCATGTGGTAGATCCAGACAATGGACTATCATTTGGCAATGGAAAGGAACGAGATACTGACACGTGCTACAATGTGAGCGAACCTTGGAAACGTTACGCTGATTGAAAGAAGCCAGACACAAAAGGCTGCATGTGATATGACTCCTTTTTATGAAATGTCCAGGACAGTCAAATCTATAGAGACAGAAAGCCGATCGGTGGTTGTCAGTGGCCCGAGAGAATGAGGTGATTGAGGGGTAACGAGTAAAGGGTACAGTTGTTTCTTTGGGAGATGATACAAATGTGCTAAAATCGACCATAGTGGTGGTTGCGTAACTCTGCAAAGATACTGAAGACTATTCAATGATTCACTCGAAACGGGAGAGTTTTCTGGTATGTGAATTATATCTCAATATAATTACTCAAAAAAAAAGACCTTCTACATGAGAATCACCTGAGATTCTCATTTCAGTTGCATTCCTGGGCCTCCTGAGTCTGAATCTCTGTAGATGGGCCAGGAATCTGAATTTAAATTAGAGCTCCAGGTGATTTGCATATACAGAACTTCCAGAACCATTCCTCTAGGAAGGCGGTCCAGTCGATAACTGTTTCCTTGGCACTGGGGTCTTGCAAGTGTAAACCCAGCCCGTATTAGTCTCCCATCGCTGCTGTAACAAACGACCACAAACCTGGTGGCTTAAAACAACACAAATGTGTTATCTCATAGTTCTGGGGGTCAGAAGTATGAAGCGAGTCTCACTGGGCTAAAACCAAGGTGTCAGCAGGGCTGCGTTCCTTCTGGCGGCTGTAGGGGAGAACCTGTTCTCTTGCCTTTTCCAGCTTCGAGAAGCTGCCTGCATCCCTTGGCTCGTGGCCCCGTCCTCCAATTTAAAGCCAGCAATGGCCTGTAGCGTCTTTCTCACATCATGTCACATCACTCTTGACTCTGACCCTTCTGCCTTCCTCTTTATGTATAGTGACCCTTGCGTTTATGTCGTCCCTCCACCCCTAGATAATCCCAGGTAACCTCCGCATCTCAAGGTCAGCTGATTTGCAACCTTAATTCCTTCTTGCCATGTGACATAACATAGTCACAGGTTCTGGGGACTAGACTGTGGACATCTTTGGGGGCTGTGATTCTGCCTGCCATGCGGTCTGCTGCCTAATGGTGTAAGGTGCCCTCCCCACGTCACAGATGCTGAGCGAATGAACGTGACCCCACCTGGAGTCCCCTACTGGGGCTGTTGCATTGGTGTCTGAGAAGAGGTTCTAGCAGATCCCTCTAAATTCTAATTATCATGGTCTCAGCCCCCACCCCTCTGCAAAGCCTGTACCACGTAAAGCAGTGGTGAAGTTAAAATAGATTTGGGGCTCCTGCCACTTCTTTCTGCTTCTCTGGTGAGTTTGCTTCTCAAATAACGATGCAGAGTTTGAAGCCTATCCAGGGACAAGCTTCCATCTGACCCCTGCGAGTTCCAGTAATAGGTCAGTATTTATATAAATAATAGACAAACATGCGCAGGCCGCCCTCCCCAAGGAGCCCCTGTCTCCTATTTTTAGGCGGCCCATCTTCCCGCCCGTGGAGCTGTGTCCCTCCCTCTGTGGTCTGGGTTGAGATGTAGATGCTGGTGGCTGCAGTGAGAGGGGGGACAGTTATTCTAAAATCCCCTTGCAGGGATCACTCTGCCAATTATTTCCTAAGAAGTGGCACTGGACAGAGGTTCAAGTGTAAGTTCTGTTTATTTGTCTCACCAGGTACTGTGGGGAAGAGAGGGATGAAGAGCTCACAGACAGAGAGAGACAGGCTGGCTGTAAAGTCTGGCTCTTCCTCCAAGGGAGAGAATGAACAGTCGGGGAGGGCGTGTCTATGCCAGCCACTGCACCTTTGCCCAGTCCTCTCTGTAAAATTGGTGTGTGGACCCATCATACAGATGAGGGCACTGAGGTTCAGAACAGCAAAAACTCCCAACCAGGAATGGCAGAGCTGATCTATCTCAGCTCTCAATCTATCTCCCGCAACACCCAAGGTTAGCTTAAAGGATCAGGGTGCCTCAGGTGAGAAAGGAACCTTTTTTAAAAGGTAACTCGAATTCCAAATGCGAATGGGGGATGATTCTTTCATTCACACAAAGGCATGTGAGCCCAGCATAGGGAGCCTGAATGAGCTGAAGAGAAAAACTATCTGTGTCAGAGTCAAGACATGGGTGCGGGGCACCTGCGGGGTTTCCCTCCCTGCCCATATTTTATGAGAGCGTCTCTAATCCTCACTTGTTTGAAGTGGTTTAGGCGTGGTCTTTAAGTCAGAGTAAGCAAGATGGCACCTGGAGTTCCTGTAAATTTCTTGGAGATTAAAAGTGTCTTGTTCCCAGAACGTTGCCAAGCCTTGGGAGTACCCCTAAGCTCAGTGTTTAGAGGGACAGAGGATTGAGCCCGGCGAATGCTAGGAACTGTCATTTACCCAGCCTCTCTCTCCTCTGCACTCTGATTCTGGTTTTACAGCCCATTCTGAGACACTTTATGGGATGGTCTTCCCATCCACAAAATGGGCATGTGCTGAGTGCCTTCCCTCCAGGCTCCTGCAGCAGCCGGTACTGTTGGTGGCCCCTTCACTGAACGTCTGTTCATTGTCCCTTTCCTTCCAGACCGGGATCCCCGAGGTCAGGGACCGACTCCTGCACCGTAGTGTCTGGATTCCTGGCACTCAGCAGTGAGTGAACAAGCGAATGAATGGAGGAACAAATGAACACATGAATTATGACAATAGTCTACCACACTTATCTTGGACCCGCTGGTGTTACACATTCAGGAATTTTGTAAGCCCCAGTTGTTAAATTATTGGTAGCCTGAAATTGACCATGGTGGGTGTATTTATGCCAGGGAAATGGGCAAATGCTACAAATCGGGGCTCCCCTCCCCCCTTTTCAGAGCCTGTTTATCAGTGCTTCCCCATGCCAGGCACTGTTTTAAGCAGTTTACATAAATGAACCCACATTTAATGCTCACAGCCACCATTACCTTTCTGCAGGTGGGGAAACTGAGGCCCCGGTGTGGTTCGGTAGCCTTCCTCGACCTAATATGGGAGACCCGGATAATCACCATCCTCGCCGTCTCTGGGTGCAGCTGCCCATTGTGGCCTCACAGGTACCAGCCTTTCTCAACGTGGCCTCTGTTTTTAATCAGCTCCTCCGGGAGAAGAGACGCAGTTGCCTGGTGACTAAAATGTTTCCCAAGCCTCAGCAAGTCACGCTGTGTGCCAGGAGGATAAAGATCACCACACGGGGAGCCCCTCGTCCGGGGCTCCAAACAACAGATCCAGCCAGCCCCCATGCAAAGCTCCAGCCCGCCTTCGTGACGCCAGCAGAGCCATGGGTAGGATTGAATTAAAGCCATGACGTCCGGGAATAGGCGGCAGCAGGCTCTGTAGGGTGGCAAAGCAGGGGCAGAGGGTGTATGTTCCACCGCACGGCCCCCAAAACTCACAGGTACATCTGTCCACCCAGTATTTGCCTTTGGCCTGTCCCTTGGGGACCACAGGTGGGGACAATCATGGACTCCCCAAAGCTCAGCTTCGGGGGTGACAGTCACCAGGGGCCATTCTGGCTTGAATACTCCACACCTCCGTGTCCCTCGTTTACCCTCCCGCGGGGTCACCTCCGGTGTGTGTCAGTCTCCCCACTTTTCTAGGAGTTCCTTAGGAGGGAAGTGTGGCTCCTGGTTATTCTTGCATGTGGCTCCAGAACCCAGGGACACAGCAGGCCCTCCGTAAATGTGCAGGGAATAAATGAATGAACAAACTCACGGACTGTGCCTTGGCGTCTCCACCTTCCTGCTGCCACAGGGAGCTCCAGATGATTTCTCTAAGCCCTGCCGTCAGGGGTGAATGCCCTGGGTCAGGGCGTCACGCCCCAGCTTCCTCTCTTCCGGCTCCTTGCTGGCTGGTAAAGGTGGCTTGTTTGGCAGGAGACCCAGGAGAGCAGACGGGGCCTTGGGAAGGCTTCTGGAAGAGGTGATAGTTACTTAAGCTCTGAAGAGGAAGCCTGGGTCATAGGAAGAGGGTGGGGAAGGGACAGACCGAGGCAGAAGGAACGGCTGTGGCCAGTGGGGCTTGAGACAGTTGAGACAGGTGATGGCTCCTTTCGCCCTACACACTGGGAAGCCTCTCCTTGGTCACCTGAAGGGCAAAGCAAAGCCACGTGCCCCCTCGCTGTCCACGAGCACCATCCCAGGGCCTTCATCCCCACCCACACGCACCGTCTCTAGCTCTGGGAGCAGCCATGCCAACGGGAGGAGACGCAGGCATGAGAACATCCTTTTCTTTCTCCCCAGCAGAAAGCCCCATCATTGAATCCGTGAATAATATAATAAAATTCCAAGTCAGAATAAAATTGTTCCCAGCAGTCGTGGGCAATTCCCAAGGGGCCTGGGGATCCCCTTTCTGACCTTGAGGCCAGTGTGGGTTTCTAGATTCCTTCTGACCCCAAATGCAGCCTCCAGGTCTGCTTTCCAGTTCATTCAGACCAGCTAGTGCCCGACAGCCAATACGTTCCCAGCTCTGCTTGGTCTTAGCACCACCTAAGGGTGCTTTCAAAATGCAGATTCCAAGTGCTGCCTCAGCTCTCTGAATGCCAACAGAGAGCGTAATAGGCAGCTGGATCTTCAACCAAGAAGGGGATAATTCTGCTGCCCTGGCAGATTTCAGGAGCTTCCTGGTGTCTCCGAAAGGCACCCGCCCTGGAAAGGGCTGTGACCCTTGGCTTGGGCCTATGGTCTGCAGCTGTGGCAAGAAGGGGATAATTCTGCTGCCCTGGCAGATTTCGGGAGCTTCCTGGTGTCTCCGAAAGGCACCCGCCCTAGAAAGGGCTGTGACCCTTGGCCCATTGGGCCTATGGTCTGCAGCTGTGAGCATCCCTTCCCCAGCACCCTGTGAAGCTGATACCGGTGGGCTCACCTAAGCCCTCTGTCAGTGAGCCCTGAAGGACCCTGACCCACCCCAGCACTCTCCAGAGCCTGGTGCCTAGGACTCACTGAATACAGGTGGATCGTCGATGGCCGTGTCACCGAGCACCATGGAGCGCAATGGCCTGGACTTGCGAACTGGAAAGGCTTGACTTTGAGTTTCTTCTCTCGCTCTGTGACCTCTCTGAGAATCAATTCCTCATTTGCAAAGTGGACACGATTCCACAGAGACCACCTTGTGCCGTGTCCCATGCCAGGTCCTTCTGCTGGACATCTCATTATATTATCCTCATTTTCAAGAGTAAGAATCTTGGTCAGACAGGTGGCAGGACTGCCGCCCGCCACCCAGCCTGGCTACAGAACCCAAACCCTTACGCCATCTTAATGCAGAACTTCTCCCATTGACTTTGGGGACCGCCAGCACAGCGACTCTGGCGGTCTGTCTGAAATGCAGCCTCCTGGGTCCTGCCTGGTCAGAATCCCGGGGTGGAACTCTGCTGCTAAAGTTTGAGAACTCCAGCCAGGCCCCCGTGCTGTGTGGCTCAGATGGGCGGGGCTGGCACGTGGGTGTGCCCGCTACATCAGGGTGGGGAGGAGGGCCTTTTCGTGAAATGAGCCAAGCAAAGCACCTGGTGCACATTCAAGGTGGATTCCTATTGTCATGTTACCTTTATTGCTGTTCACCCTAGAGCTAATTAATGCTCACTGGCCTTCGCTGTCCCAGGGGAGTTTCCTTCCTGCGATCTGGGAGGATGTGCGGTGGAACCGGGGTGGGGGTGGGTACGGAAACCTCCTAGGGGTCTGATACCTCCTCTGCTCACACCCCCCCAACTCCGCTCACACCTGCTTCTTTCCAAAGCAGGCGGGGGTGCGGAAGAGGCGAGGCGCGACGAGCACTGCTGGCTGCTGCAGGAACAGGGGAACCCTGGAGGTGGGCTCCTCGGCCCCCTCCCTCCCCACGCCCTTGCGCGCCGTTTCCGGCCCCGGGGCGGGGCGCTCCCCACTCCCCGCAGTGCGCGAAGCCGACGCGCGCTAGGACCGCGGCGCGCCGCCCTCCGCGGCTATAAGAGGCCGTGCTCCGGCCCCACGCGGAACCCGCGGCTCCGACCGGTGCCGGCGTCCCACTCGCGTTGGACCCGAGGCCGGACCCGCCGCTACGCAGCGGACGCCAGCCCAGGGCCTGCGAGGGACGCGCGCCCCAGGGTCGTAGTCGCGGGCACCATGGGCGCTGCCCACTCCGCTTCCGAGGAGGTGCGGGAGCTCGTGGGCAAGACCGGCTGTGAGTATTCCGCGGGGACACGGCGCGGGGACACGGGCGCGGGGTCCCCCAGCCCCCCGCCGCCCTGCCGCTGCTCGCCGCCGCGCAGTGTGACCTTGGGCTAGTAGCTGGCCCTCTCTGCGCCTCAGTCTCCCCTTCCTTCAAATGGGTCCCCGCCGGCCACCTGGCAGGCTCAGGCGCGGAGCCCCCGCGGCGTTGCTGAGTAAGTGCCGCGGCCGCGCAGCCTGGGCGCTCTCGGAGTTGCCGGGGGACCCCCCGGCTTGGGGACCGCGGACCCCGCTGGGAGGGCAGGCGCCGGGACGGGGAGAGCGAGCGCGCGGGGGACGCCCGGCCGGAGCGCGCCCCGCACCTGAAAGTCGTTTGGATTCACGCTGCGCAGGGGGCGGGAAGTTTTGAAGTCCGCGCGAGCTGGGCTTGGGCTTCGTTCTCCCATCTGTGGAGTGGGTGCAGGTGGGCCCCCCCTCCCGGAGTAGCTGCGAGGTCTAAGCGGGGATGCGCCCTCGGCGCACTTCGCAGGAGCCCAGCGACCTTCTTCGAACTGGCCGGGACTCCAGCGACCCGCAGAGGCGGGGCGCACGGGGAGGCCTTACCGCGGGGGCGAGCCGACCGCAGGGACCGTGAAGGGCGGAAGCGCCTGTCTGCCCAAGTCCAGCCGGACAGGGAACTTGACCCTGGGTCCTGACTTCGGGGCTTGAGTGGGGGGCGGGGGAGGGGGGGAAGGTGGTCAGGTTCTGCCACCGGCTGTGAAGAGTGTGGACTGAAGACCGTAGGAGGCCAGGTGAGGTCAATGGAAATGTACAGACGGGGTGTGAAGCCTCTGGGGGGGTCACTTCCTTCCTGGCTGTGTGACCTTGGAGCAGTCACTTTACCTCTCTAAGTCTCGGTTTCCTTCTCTTTGAAACGGGAGTTCTGCTAGTACCTGGTAGATGCTCGAGAAATGGGAGCCGCAGATATTATTTCTGAGTAGGAGCTGGCTCCTGGCACCTGCCTTGAGCTGGGTGCAGACACCAGCATCTGTAGTCAGTCATGAGAAGAAACCAGCCATTGGAGCGTGGGCTGAAAGACGATTCCTCCTGCCCCTCAATCTGAACGCCTCTTTCCAGGGGAACTGGATAGAAATTGCAGAAAGACCTTAACAACTGGAGTGTGTGTGTGCGTGTGCATGTGCGCGTGCGTGTGCATACACACACGCCTACATACACATACATACGTTTATATTTTCCTGTGCACAAATATAGAACTGTCTGCAACTGGAGGCGAAAAAGGTGTGGTGCATGGAACCCTTTTTGTTTAAAAGGGGAATAAGAGTATCTGTTTGTAATTGCTCTGTTTGCATCAATGATTCTGGAGGGACCCACAAGGCAGTAAGAATAATGAAATATGAGGGGGGATTTGGTGGAAGGGGGTAAAGGGGGAGTGAACTTTTCACTGTACACTTTGTTATATTTTCATTCGAACGAATATTTTACTACTTCGAGAAGTTTAATAAAGTCCAGTGCAACCCTCAGGCTAATGTGAGAGAGGAAACAGGAGTCCCCGTGCCCTTGTCTTGGATTTCCCCTTTTTTTCTTTCTTGAGTGCCCTCTCTCTGCCTCTCGCTATCTTGTAATCTGGACGGGTGGAGATGGAGGTTCTTTTTAGCTGGGCTCTCCCCGGGGAGGGTGGGCTGGCCACCAGTCCCCATCTCTCAGGCAGCGGGGAAGGCAGGCAGGCATTCTGGGGGTCGGATAAGAACAGCCCTTTCAGACAGGGGCTGTGCTTGTAAACACAGGCCACTTTTGTTGTAAGACCTTTCGGCTAGTAGCAATCACACTGGAAGAGTTAAAAAGCGTTCTAAAAGTACA